AATAAAAATAAGACCTGCTGCACAGAAGTGAACGTGTTTCTTATGTCAACACTTTTCCCTGCTCTTATTTTGGTAATGTCTTAAGTCACTCTTTAGAGACAGACTTTATTGGCTGTACTTTTCAAACGGGGGGAATACTAAGTACTTGCAACTTAATCAGCCGTATTGCCGAAGAGAGGGGTTTTTTTCTCCCCAAGTACTTTTATGTCCCATAATGAGCTGGTATTTTATAACTTCTGATGATAATGTATTCCATATGCCTTCCATTGCTGGGATAAAGAGCTTTACTCCAGAATCCAAAGCAAGTGGCTGCGGGTATTTATTTAATAAAGTTTCAAGTCTCTGCACCAAGCGGGATGTCAGTGTATTGTGTACCCGGAGCTTCCTCAGCCTGCTTGTGGTGAGATCTTAGTTCTTTAACATCATGGAAAGATTACTCCTGTCCCATCCTGCTTCCTATGAAGCAGGGTAGGTTCTGTGATTCTAAAGACAGTCCTGCTGTTTCAGTCAAATTCCTTGCTTTTCTTTACCCTTGTGAATACCGCTAGTCTCCCTCCAGGACCTGGGAGGAGTTAAAACTGAGAGGAATTCAGCCATGAATACCAAGATAGCCAAATGAGTGGTCTGCTCATAATTCCTTGAGGCATCTCTTCTAATGCCTTGCACAGAACAAAAGTCCTGTTGTGGGGGTGCTTAGGAGTTGCTGTAGTCTTGGAGACTTGACAGGAATGAAAAATAATCTTTTTATGGTTTCTTGCTAAAATACTCAAACTGCTTTGGTTGGGCTTAGCATTTGAAAAATATTTTCTGGTATGTGACTTCTGGATGTTCTGGCTTATTTGTCTTCACTCTGATCAGTGCAACAATAATTATATTTTAAGTTTTTGGCAGGATTCAAATTTATGTTTCAAGTCACAAAGAATTATCATTACCATTTTATCTGCACGCTTGTTGGCTTTGGTATATTATCACAGGCCCTGTGAAAACTCATTTGCTTTCTTCAGGGTTTAGTTAAAACTGAAGAATCATCTGTATGTGAATCTCGTGCAGCCTTCTAAATCTTGAATGGGAGGTCTATGATGCAGATTGAGGAACATAATTTCAGAACTGCTGATGCTTTTACTGAAAACAGTGCTTCCACTGGCACTGTTAGAGGCAGGGTACCTCAAAACCAACAGATTTTTGGTGGTGATGCTGTAGTTATGCCATAATTTGTGGTGTTTGATTCCTGGCCTAAAGGCATTCTGCTGTAGTCCAGATTGCTCCCCATCTTTCTGTACACTTGGAAGAAAAATTGTCATTTGCCTTCTGATTTGATTATTTTCCAGGTCATAGAAAAGGCAGGTGCAGTTCTGAGCCTTTCCCTTGTCCTCCACTCCCCAGGCTGTCAGGGATGAGCCCTCTTGCAGGAGACTCTGCCACCTGCTGCTTTCCTCCCTGAAGTGAGGAATCTAAGCCAGCCTTAGATCGCTTCACACTCTTTCCAAACCCCATCCCACTTCTGCTGTAGCAGAGCTCACTGTCATTTAAACTTTTCCTGCTTTTATGCTCTCTTGGCAGCTAATACATGAGCTCTTTTAAAGCTGTCTGTCCAAGCGTATTTTTTAGTAGGCAAGGCTGCTACTTTTCAAACAGCTTTTGCTCACAGTTACCTGCAAAAAATACTTGGTTGGATTTATGAATCTAGGAAATTAGTTCCACAGCTAGTTGGTATGTCCTTGATTAACCTCCGTTTAAAATCAAAATAAGCTAGTAGCTTTTGACTATTTTTTCCCCGCACTTGCATGATAATAGTATCACAATGTTTTATCAAATATCAATGATGACAGTCCTTAAGCAGGAAGAAAACTGAATATGTGAGCAGATTGCGTATCAGGCAACAACATGTGATCCAATATTAAACATGAGCTTTTCAAGTTACAGAATCAGGGAAGAGCCCAGGTTGGAAGGAACCTTGAAAGATCATCTGGTGCAACCAGATGGTTGGTTATGTAGTGAAGTAGACAAGAAATGGAAGAGAGAAACCATTTGCTTTAGTGAAATTGGTCCAGTGTTTATTTCTGTATGTTCTCATCAAGATCCTTCTGGCTTTCACTTGGCAAAGGACAATTCTTTCTGGGAAAAAGCACCTTAAATCCTTTGAAGGGTTCTTTTGAGTTTAAAGGGCATTTGGTTTTTTTTTTTTTTTTTGGGTTTTTTTTTTTTTTTTTTTTTTTTTTTTTGTTGTTTTTTTTTTGTATTTGTAGGAGTAACTGAAGGTTCTTACTCCAGTAATTTTCTAGTCAAATAGTTCATATCTAGCAGGAATACTTCTAGTGATAGCTCTCTTCCAGGTTTTTTAGTAAACCTTTACTAATGATACTAATTGTTGCTGTATCTTGTGACTTACAAACTCTGAGAATTTACATGAAATCTTAGGAGCTACTTTTTAGAGACTTCTGAGTAGTTTTACAGGTCCAGCTGTGCCTAACATCGTGTACTAGTCCAAAGGGACTGGTCCTAGAAAGCAGATTTCTCAGGCATCTGAATTAATTTTCTCCTGTAACTTTTTCCAAGACCAGCTTTCCAGTACCTCTTGTGAAGTGTGAGTACCTAGTGTGGTAGTCTTTTTTACCTCTGGACTGGGCAGGATAATGCTACTACTTGATTGTCCCAGAACGCTGTTGTGGTTCCTACCGAGCATCTTGGCTGCAGCGCTGTGGCCAGTGCTCATACTCTCTGCTATCCGTGATATTCCTAAAAAATTTCTGAGGTTTGGTGTTTTCCAGGACACAGGTCTGCCCAGATTAAGTGCAATTTATGCCCTTTGTTCCTGAATGTTTGTGAAAGTTGCATTTGGTTATGTTGAAATGCTAAATGAGCTTGTCTTCCCAAGAGATTGAGTTAAGGGATTTCTATCTGCAGCATGTTCAGCTTTTCCTGGGAAGTTAGAGAGCGCACAGTCAGAAAACAGACCTGGGAAGGTGATTATAAAACAAAATTTTAGAGGTGCAACTGCACACATCCCTGACAGCTATTCCATATGCAGTTGTGCTATTAGTATTTACCAAGCACTTTTTACTCCATTACAGAGATGTGGTTGTTTGTGTGTGTTAATTCTTTAATCAGGGCTCTGTGGCATTCCGCACAAGCTAGATAAACTCTGTTACTTTTAAGAACGAAATGTTTCATACTCCAAATGTAGTGTTTGATTCAGCTTTTGTGTTTGTTAAGGCTGAATTGCTGTAATTTACACACTTGTATTCTCTATCAGTTGTCTTGTGGCTGTGGACGGAAAGAGTGTCCCGTTTCCATCTGTTAGGCAAAGAGTTAATCCACAGCTTCTGTGGTTGGATATGAATTTGCTTGGCAGTGTAACTACTGCTTTCTTGAAGCACCTATTTTTGAATTTGATGCTGATACCTTGTGGGCATTAAAGTTTCAGTGTTTCAGCTCCAAGCAACAGTGATGTTCCTGCAGATCCAAACTGGCAGACATTGGTAGCCTAAATGCTAGTGTTTATTAGAGCAGAGCAAGGCTTGAGGGTAACTGTGCCAAGTGTTGGCTCATTAAATTGGCAGGAAGATTAAAAAATGCTGCTTTTAAAGATAAGGACAAGAATTGGCGTGGGCTAGGCAGGGGTGAGAGAATGGCAGTGGATAGGGCATGTGGTAGGTGTCTTCTATCTTTCTGTAGATAATCTGAAGGCAAGAGCAGACTCATTGAGACAAATGAGCTGTCATGCAAGCAGGAATAATAGCAAGTTGAAGTAATAGTGTGCAGCACTTGTCACTGCTGGAGATCAGTAGGCACAGCTCTGAAATATTAGTGTTAGAATCAAAGTTTTGCTTTTCTGGAGTCCTAATGAGTTATTAATTCCTTGTATTTAGGAATTTTGGTAAATATTAGTGCAGGGAAATTAGCGATTTATCTTTTAACGTGATGGGGAAGCTACTTGAAATTAACATACCCTTTGGTTTGTTTATCCAGGGGAACTCCCTCCCAAGGTTCACTGACACTGGTGTTCTTACATAAATTTGAACTGGTTTAACATGAACATGATTAGCTCTTGTCTCTGCAAAATACTTAGATGTATTTGGATGACTCAAATCTGGGCTGGACTGTTTAGGGTTTGATAGGGTAAATTGGTGTATATAAATCAGATTAGAATGAGTAAGTTGTGCCTCCCATTTACATCCTGAAAGAGCAGAGATGCTTGTCTTTGTGTTGCCATCGCTCTTGATGTTTTCTATAGAGTAGAATCTTACTGATAGATTAGATTAGTAGAATCTGAGACATTTAAAGTAATTTAACAGATTTGGTCTAATTAGTAGATTAGACCAAATCATTGATTATTATGCTAATAATCTGAATTACTAAAAATAGTGAGTTCATTGTAATATGGACAAAATAACTTCACTCTTTCCAAATTTTTACTCAGACTAAAGCAGGGTCTTTGAGAGATTTCGTCTCGGTTGCCCCTGCTAATGTCATGGCTGGCTGCCTCTGCTGTGGGGTTGGGACTGAGCAGTGCAGGCTGGGGGAGGCAGGACCTGTGTTCTTTGGGAAGCTTTTGAAGCTGTTTGAACTATGACCTGAAGGATAGCCAGAAGAGACATGGAAATGCAAAGACACGGGTCGGCATGCACTACATCGTCACTCCCTTCCGCAGTTACCGTATGCCTTGTGAATTCAGCAGGAACCTATTTCTTATTGTTGTGGATGAACATTTGATTGTCAGAGAGAAGGCTGATACCATTAATTGGTGCTTCTGTGGTTATTGCAGATTATTTAATGTGACCTGCTGCTCATGATACCAACCTGTCATGTCCTTTTACCTATGGAAAAAGTCTGCACTGAAGCTAATATTACATTACTTGCTTGCATGGTTTTGAAGCTGTACATCATTTGCCATGCTGCAGTTTGTAGCTTGAAAATTTCTTGATCAAGTCTCAGGATGACTTAAGTGAAAGAGGCAAAGATTTTCTGTGATTAACTGGATGCTTTTGTTTCTATTTCAGGAAAGCCCCACAGCACTGGCAGCTCCGAACGGATTCAGCTCTCAGGAATGTACAATGTTCGAAAAGGGAAAATACATTTGCCAGTCAACAGATGGACAAGACGCCAAGCTATCCTTTGTGGAACATGCCTAATTGTCTCATCAGTAAAAGAAAGCCAGACTGGAAAGATGCATGTCCTCCCTTTAATTGGTGGAAAAGTAAGATATTTTATTTTATTTATTTGCTCGGTTAACCCATGTCTCTTTATGAAGAGAAGATTGTATTCAATTAGGGTGATTCTGACCCTCCAAAAGCTTGTTTCTATAAATGGGATTTTCAGAGTATATGAATGACTTTTGATTATGGTCGGTCATATTTAACAATCTAGAATGTTTGAATTAAAACTACAAAGAAAAGCAATGTATGCACAATCAGTGTGCAGTGTCAGGTGGTTTATATATGCAGTAGCATACAGCCGAAGGATACATGCAGGTTTGTTGTGTACAAACATGTGATCTCTGCCATTCCTCCTTATCCAGGTTTTATCCGTGCTGGGCTATTCTTAAGTTCTGAAAATTAACAAATAAGGGCATGGGCTTATTCTGAACATTGTGGGAGTTTTGAGTATTCAGCATTGTACGAGTAGTAGTCTGTTGTAAGCTAACAGCAACAAACATTTTTCCTTGTGAAAAGCTAAAACAGGACTTTTTTTCTGATCTAAAACCCAGGACTTCCAGACTGAACACAGCAAAATTTATTTTTTCCTGCTGGGATGGTGACTGAGCACTGGCATGGGTTGCCCAGATGGGTGATGGCATATCTATCACCCCTGGAGATACTTCAAAACCATCTGAACATGGTCCTGGGCAACTGCCTTTATGTGGACCTGCTTGAGCAGGGTGTTGGAGCAGATGACCTCTGAAGGTCCCTTCCAACCTTAGCTCTTCTGGGCAACTGTAGTGAAGACAGTAAGATTACAGCATCACTGTTTTAACCTAAACAGTGTTTCAGAAAACTATTATTGGCTTGTTTAACTTGGAAAATGGGAAGAGAATCATAATCTTGAGGATGAATTTATACCTTAAGTAATTTTCCTTTCCCTTACATAGTGGTAAGTTGAATTCTAAAGAGTTATTTCGAGAGAAACAAGCTTCACAGTATTATATATGCAGACTAGAGTTGATTAATTAATATTCTATATTAGCAGTGTGAAAAGCAGAGCTGCCTTCTGTGAGCTGTTTTTCCTGCCTCTTTTATGATTCTTCATGTAATTCTCCAACTCTTCCTGGGAGATACTGAAGTAGAAACATTGTCCTCTTTTGGCAACAGTGTGTGAACTCTGGAGAATGAATTGTATTCCTGGGTGTAGGTTGCTGGAAAGGACGGGATTAAGGTTCCCATCAGCCTTCTCTTTGAGATAAATATTCTTTTTATCACAATATTTCTTTTAATTTTAAAAGGGAAAAGATTATGTACCATTTTAATTGCTTAATGTGGAATTTCTAAGCAGCTTTTGCACAGAAATGCCTTATGTGATATAAAACATGCAGACTATGTTAAGCAGAAAGTTAAAAAAAATTGAAAAGAAAAGGATAACTAAGCTCAGAAAAATGTACTGAGGGCTTCTGCTGACAAAGCTTGGGAGGAGGGTGCTTGGCACAGAACTAAGTGTTTTTTAAATTATTGCTCAAAAAATATTCTTCCTCATCCCCATAAATACTCTGCACTTCCTGGTTTGCAAAGGCTTTCCAAAATGCTGTACTGAGACATTGAGACCATAAGTTGTGTGGGACTTCTCGTGTATGGTAGCAGAATGATGTACTCTGGGTGTTTTTTAACAAGTTGAGAAATGCCAAAGAATTTAATTGGGCTGTAAGAGAAGCATTTTGTTAAGCTTGTTTTTAATAACCAGGGAGTAAAAATTGTATTTTTTTAGGTTGCATAAAAACAGCCTTAAATGTATTTCACTGGCAAACCTTTTATGGTATTCAGTTTCTATTAAAATGTTTATGTTCTTGGTGGTTTTCTCCGTTAGTTCTGTCCTCCTCCTTTTCTCATTCCTACTTGTGCAGTTTTAATGAATATTTGATACCCAAGATCCAGCTTAGGTTTTTGAGATGGTTAGTTGGGCTCTACTTGATGATCTGTTCTTGGGCACACTTTAACTTTGCCTTGGGGAGTTCTGCAAAGAGAGTTTTGATTCTTGTTGACTCACAGTTTTGTGTCTCTGCCGTAGGTGGAAGAAGTGAAAAAGCACCAGCACTGTTTAGCATTTAGCTCCTCTGGACCTCAAAGCCAGACCTACTACATTTGTTTTGATAACTTCACTGAATATCTGCGATGGCTGCGACAAGCATCAAAGGTGAGGATGCTGCTAGCTCTGCTGTGAATGGGATGTTTGGAGAGTTTCCCCCAGTTCAGTTTCTCCGTGCAGCAATACTGTTCCTCTTCTGGGTTGATTGTCAAGAACTGCTGTTTGTGTTGTATGGAAATACCCAGATTTGAGAGCTCGTGGTAACAGGCAATAGGGAGGTGAATTTTTCTGCATTTACACCAACACCTCCTTCTACTGAGGTTGTGTAAGCAAAGTGCTGTACTGAACTTCTTCTATTTTCTTATCAGCTGAATGGATCTACTGAGATCATTATAATAGCAAGGATGACAAATACAACTGTCAGTATTTCAGTTAAAAAGCTTTTTTTCAGTGTTATTAAAACGTAAAATAATGTCCGGGTTTTTAAAATTCATTCCTTACATAGAACCTAAATATTAAATTGCTAGAATAAAGGATTTTTTTTTTTCCTGCTTTGAAGTGTTGCTGAACCTCTCTCTGGTTTAATAACTATTTGATTTTTGGGTTATTTGTAATAAGCAAATAATTTTCTGTCAGTGAAAAAGGTTACTAACGAAAACCTTTGTAAAGTCAATTTTATACTGGGCTTAGAACACAATTAATTATAGGAATTTAGGGCATGCATTATTTTGTTTAACTCTTCAGTTCCACTTTCTGTTGTTGGAAGGTATTTTTGCAGTTGTCTGTTTTATCTCTTAATCCCTGCCACTTTTTTGCTAAAGCTCTATATATCTTGCACCCTTATATTTTTCATACTTATTACAACTGAAGTTTTTTTACTGTGCTGTCAGTATGCTCTCTTTGGTTCTGTAGTTGGCCCTAAACTGTTCATTAGTTTCGTACTTGATAGAACTTTCCATGCTCTTTACTATGTAAAAGCATCTTAGTTTTATGTGGCACTACTTGGAGACTCATGTAGCACTAGATCTGTTTTATCTTTACATTGCAATAATGTATTATCCAGCCAATTGCCAGTGATGCAGCCTAGGTTGTGGGCTTTTTAAAGGTTTGATTGGATGTCAGACTTTCTTCAAACAGTAACTAATGCACCTTCTAGCACATGCATCATTTAAAATGTCTTTTAGGTTTTTTTTCCTAGTTAAGTTTTAAAATTCTTTTTAAAGAAGCTGTTCTGGCATATCTGCTTAGGTCTGTTAAACCTCAAGGTAAAAATCCCCAAGGCAAGTTTTATGAGATGGTGAGGCACGGTCTGTCAGGTTTTTGAGTCCTTGTCGCTTTGGGGCTGTCTCTAGGACACTAGTGTCCTTTCATCTCCAGAGGGTTTGACATCAGATAAATGAAAGGCAAATCTAATGAGTGAGGAAAACAGTGGAAAACAATGAACTTCAGAGCTAGAGATAAATGGCCAGAAAGCCCCTCTGAATTACTGGCAGCTAAAGCTTGTTCTGTGCCATGCTGTGCTTCTCTCTTTCTCTCTGGTTCACCCAAATGACTAACAGCATCGGGATGATAGCCAGCATGAGAACATATCCCCATGCACTCCCAATAACCTCCCATTCTTATGTAAGTGTAGAAAGAAAATACATAGTTTCAAGTGTCTTTTCAGACTGTCAGAAGTGAAGAAACTCTCTATGCTATTCTTTTAGCTTGGTAAAACATTCTTTGAGGAAAAATAAAGACATTTTAAACCCCAACTCCCCAGCCCCCAAACCTGAAAATTGTCATTCTGCATTCATGGATTTTCAAACAGTTCTTTGCCACTTCAAGTTGTTTTTTTGATGTTTGGGGTTCCTGTCCTGAGACTGAAAAACAGAGACAAGCATGATTGTATGCAAGGCAGTGGTGTGGGAAGTGCTGTACAGTAACATTGTTTCTGAAGAACAGAAACAGAGAAACTAGTAATGCTGCAAAAGTAACTCAGACTTCCTCCAGCTGGTGCTGTTTGTGTCAAAGTGCTTAATTGTGAGGTGCACCACACCTGATTTACATATATAAAGAAATGACAAAAGTTGAATCTTCAGCTCTGTAGTTCAGGCAAACTAACATTCTTACGCTGGGAAAAACCCCCAGCATGTATATGAGGTATTCTGCCTCAGGTGTTTGGGAACTAATCAAGTGCAAAGCTGCTGAAACAATCATGCTAACCAAGAAAATACTGTGTAAAACACTGTGCTTCTAAAAGCAAGCAAATATAGGAAGAGAAGTATTATGGCTCTAGAACTTAGCCTCTAGTCGCTCGTTATGGGTTAGGTGACACGATGCCTGCAGGTTCTTCCCTAATACTGGTGTTGTATATAGTACTTGCACTTTTGTGAGTTGTTATGAATAATGTTTAAGACTGTATTTTAAATATAGATGTTGTTTAATGACATTTGTTCTGAAAGTGACATTTGTGTTAACTTCTATTCAGTGATAGTTCTTCAGAGTAGTTCTTCTCCTTTGTGCTCCTGATATGTGCTGCTGAAAACTGAGGCATCTGATTTTTAGTGCAATGAAAGCTTTAATTATAAATTTTAATGCAGAAGGAAATCCCTGCTAAAATATTTCCTTAAAATTGTGCAATTCAGTTTTTAACTATGAAAAAAAAAATAATGTCTATCTTCTGTATACTTCAGAAGAGCTAGAAGACTATGTTATTTAACTTTTAAATAACAAGCTCAGTCTTGAAAGGAGGCTTGCAGAGAATGCTTGCTCCGCAGTCTTTCTCCCCACAGAATATTGACAATTGTTGACTTTTTAGTGGTGTTTCAGAATGAGACAAATCCTAATGCATCACTCCTGTAATAAATATGTGTATTCTAGAAAAGATTTGAATTTGTGTTTGTGGAGACTGGGGTTTAATTTAATTAAAAATAAGCATCGCTCCTGTATAATCAGATTCATTCTAACAGTGGAATCTATCATAGCCAAGACCGTTTTTGTGCTCTGCCTCTGTAAATTTTTGGAAGTTGAATAGGTGTTAGGATTGGTTTTCCTATATGGATGTGTCCTGAGGTGAACAGAACTTTTGTTTTCAGGACAGACTAGAATTATTGCACAAATACTGACCTAAATATCGAACTTGGTGACATACTTATTCCAAGTAGGCCACTTTTAGATGCGCTGATTTAGCCTCAAACAGAATATTTTTAAAAGCTGGAGATCTGTCTTGTTCGTTAAGATTGATAGTTCTATACCACAGTGCATTTCTTTCCTTGTACTTTCCAAAAACTGGAGGGCTAATTAAGGAAGCTTAAAAGGAAAACAACAGCAACAGATTTGGTCCTTTGTGATCTAATGCATTCATTCTCTTGCCAAATGTTGAAAAATAGGCTTATGCAACTGGGAAGGGTGAGCAGAGGGGAAAGAAAGGAACGTCTTCCTAGCTTTAAAGAATTTTGTCTGCATGAAGTTGTCCTGATGGTTCTGGAAATGGCACAATTACTTGCACAGCAAATCTGTCACTGTTTGCTACCTGAATGTCAAATGCAGAAGGACAGGGCAAAGAACGTGTGTTTAACAGTGAGGAGGACGTGATGAGTGCGTTCCTCATTTGCCACTTCAAAAGCTGAAAAGCTACATCCTTAATGTAGAAGAGAGAGAGGTGTTATGCATACAGTGTTAGGGATTGGTGGGACTTGCTGTTGTGAGGCTTTTATTTGGGATGTGGTCTGTTGTTGGATGTTTCTAACAGCTAACCCTAACCATTTTACAACATGTGAAATTTCTGTTGTGAGCACTGCCTATGATACAGTTCATGACATGGATGGTTTGGGTGGAGTATAAAAGGATTAGCAGTCCTCTGTGTTCCAAGGCATGCAGTTAAAATGGGATGTCAAGATCTGCCTTGGAAATTCGGTATTGCAGAGCTTATGCCAGGGTGCATTACAGAATTTTATCTTCTTGGAAATAGTGTGCACCACTGGGCATGCTGGGATGAGTTATGTGACCCCACAGAACCCCTCTCTCCCTTCCTGGCTGCGGGAGAGCAGGAAGTGTGTCAACAGCTTCATATGACAATTATTTCCTGCTTTAGTGCTTGGTTCAGTGGGGCAGGTAGAGGAAAAGAGGCGATGAGGGATAAGGGCTGTGAGCAGTGCCTGTCTGTGTAGGTAGGGAGAGATGGACAGGCACAGAGCCTTGTGTGTCTGCACACCGTCAACCAGAGTTGCACAGCTGTGGCTGGGAATAAGTTGTCGTGTGGGGCTTAGATGCCTACACACAAAAGTCCTGCTGTTGAAAATACAAGGAATGTCCAAAAATAGGATTTAAAACCTACAACATTTAAGAGTTTTCCCTTGTGTGCTTTTATATTTTCCTTTCGCTGTTTCAGTCATGTCTGTGTAAATGTCTGTCATGGAAGTATGTGGTGTTCCAAACAACCGTAGCCTGTGAAAAAGGAGAGATGATGTCAGTGTACATTATGTTTAAAACACGGTAAAAATAGCAAGAATAGCAAATTCAACTGAGAAGGGCATGCTGCCATGTTGGCCTTATTCCTTTTATGCCAGTGCAGAATGCTCTCTTCATACATTTACTTGCACTGTGAAGCTAGCAGAAAACAAGAACAGATTAGAATTTGGCTCATACTCTTCAAGGAAGTAATGCAGGATCCTCTACAGCTGTAGTGTCCATCTTTCCTCAACTTGTGTAGAGATTTACCTGAAGCAGCAGTGCAAAATTATTGGTTTTGCTTTTTACTTTTTTTTCTCTAAAGTTATCTAGTTCTGACCATCTGCCTCAGTCTTCTAATTATTTTTTCAGTATAAATTTGACAATTGTGTACAGAGACTGCTGTAAAAAGAGGAGTATGAGCCCTGTAAAGCTGATCTGTAACTCTAGTGATATTTACTTCTGATGAGGTTTGAGTTCTGACCACATGCTTGGTGCTACAAACCACATTTATATATATAAATTCTGCAGAATTTAGAAAATAATTCCTGACCTTGACTGCAGTTCTGCAAAAATATTCCCAAAATAGTAGACTAAGATGATTGGCTTTTGGATGTGTTTTACAGAAACCGTGCTGAGGAAATGCAGTAAGCAACAATTGAGCATTAGTGCTAAAG